AAGATGATTGGAATTAGTTTATGACATTGGTCATGAACTAGTGGCTTATTGTACTTAATCACATTAATGAGATGATGACACGATGGTTTGAGTAGGCCTTCTCGGGCCCACTCGCTTATGACATCCTGCTCTCATGTGAATGTGTAACTTTGTTCGCAATGAGTGCGTACAAGTAAGTAGGAAAGCCGTAGATGGTCATTTGTTTCAGCGCATTTAGTCCACTATGATATTTGTGACTAGATATGTGTAAGGGTATGATAGCTAAGCCTCAATCTCGACACATTTATAGATTACGATACACATCTGAGTCAAGACTATTTGATCTTTTTGACATTGCACATATGAGGTTGAGATCAATTAGATAAGAGCTTTTGTGCTTTTAGTTTTTGACCAAGGTGGCGAGTATCTATTTGAGTTATTTTTCAGAAAAACTCTGTGAAGAGAGATGGATGCTTAGAAAATTGATTATTCCTAGTACTCAACAACACACTGGTGTAGTAGAGATAAGGAATTAAATATTGTTAATGTTAGGTGGATAATGGCGCAAAATGTTTCCCAATTGGGAATTGCACTAGTTTGTTGCCTATATCCCTAACCAAGTGCCCTCCATATCAGATTTTACACTCCATTTGAGTAATAGGTTAGTGGATAGCCATCTATGGGCAATCTGTAACCGTTAAGCAGCTTATCTTTATTTTACTTCTCATAAGATTGTGAAGTTAAGACCTAGGGTTCTATAGCGCATTATTGTATACTGTCTTGTAAACATAAAGGGTCGTGTGGCGCATTATTGTATGCGGTCATGCAAACCCTCCAGGTCATGTGCATATAGGTAAGCAGCTTTGTGGTAGTGTAACTAAGTCACATAAAGTTTTATTAGTAAAGGTGACGTGAATAGAGTTTTTGAAACTCCATAAGATAGAGAATTCTAAGCATAGCGCTCTATGTAGCCTAGTTGAGAATGGAAAGAAATTTCCAATATCCTAGGGACAGTGGGAGCGATGTGCCTACTAATGGATTACTCCATTAGAGAAGAATACTCTACATTCTTAGTTGCGTGGTAGCAAATGTGAAAATTTTTCACGTCATCACTGGGTTATTGAGAGGGAAACATTCATGATTGCTCCGCAAGATGATAAAGAACCTAGGATAATGCCAAAGGCTCTAGTCCCCTGTTTTAAAAAAGTGGATCAATGTTGCACAGTTTAAGACAAAGTCTTTGAGGATTAACCATTTTTATAATTTGGTTGACTTTCCATTAAGATGCAAAACTGTTCTAAATTTATGTGTAATTTGGATAGTCATTGTTGAGGCATAAGGCTCGCTAGATACCGAAAAGTCGCACCATTAAGGAAAGTGTAGACCATGAGAAGACTTCCTCCTGGGGAGTGAGGTTATTTTGACTTAGGCTATGATTGACATAAGTTCGGAACATTGATTTGTGGACATCGTGACCCGATTTCTCGTTAGAGAATTGGATAAGTATATCCATAGGGATTTACCTTCTGCTTTTATGATGAAAAGTTAGAAGCGCAAAAAGGTTGCTAGTTCCAATAAATCTTTTACAGCCTAAAGCAGTTATCCAAACAGTGGTTCTTAGATTTCGTCAAGCCATGACAGGCGAACGATGATCGATGAAGACCACTGAGGCATGATCAATGGTCCAAAAGAAGTTTTTCCTTACTTAGTCATTATGAGCCAGGAATTTATAAGGTTGTCGCCACCTAGGGTGGGCAGTCCTCTATTTTAGATATGATGGACATGGGTGATGTAATTTATATGCTCGGATGTACGATCCTTAGGGATTGTTTTAGGAAAATTCTCGGTTTGTCTTCGATGACTTGCATAAGGAATATCCTAGAACGATTCTAGATGCAAAATTACAAACCCATTGACTTACCTATCGGTAAAAGCCAGAGCCTTAGCTATTAAGTGAATCCTCGGATTGTCTTTGGGAGAAACAGATGACCTATATTCCTCGATCTTTTCTTTGTTGTGGGAGCCTAAAGTACGCTATGTGGGCGTATTCGGCATGATAAGTGTTATCTTTGGTAAATGGTCAACTGAGACATTGACCTTGCTCATTAGACTGTGGATAAAATGCTTTACTAGTAGTATATTAATTTGCTCATTGTAAGATTCAATGCGCTAGTTGGGCGCATCTATGCTAGTTGAGCGCACTAAGAATGAACGCAAATTGGTCACCAAAATATCTTTAGAGAGGTTATTGCGCAAGAGGTAGTAATCTTAAATTACTTCATGTGAGGCGCACATAGTGGATTCCGTTGTATATACTCATCGCAAGAGGTGCTGATAAGGCTTATATTTGGAATCTAGAATTGCGCAAACTGTGGTAATATTTTTTAGATCGATCACTTATCTGTTGTGAGATGATGAGATGTTGACACTATTATGGTTAATGTCATAATGATTAGCAGATGATGATGTCAACAGGCAAGATTGGCTCACTCACACGAACAATCGCCCTTGGCGCTTGGGAGCAAGCAAGGATGAGACTAGTGGTTTATTTTTATTTGGAGCCAAGAGAGGCTTAAAAATCATCCACTATGTATGTCGCCTTGGTTACAATCAAGATGAGGTCGTGTTAAGGACCAAACATGGATGTTAGTACCCACTTTCCATGTTGTGCCTGTTATGATTAGCCAGATTCGAGATCTCATTTAGCGCCTAGAAGGCGAGCAAATAGAGAATTCGGGTTAGGCGCTAGAAAGCGACTAGACTAATATCTGTACGGTGTATCGAGTATGACGTCACTCTTTATGGAAGAGTTGCTTCCTCATCGTGTGAGTCTTACGTGTCATTATTGATATGACTTTCATTTATGTACCCTTTTGTGACTTTTGACTATGTCATAAGGTAAGGGGTTGATGTTCTGCTACTTTGGTATGTTGCCTGCGGTCATGCATGATTCGGCCTTAAGGGACATCACTGGGAAAGCGGTCAATCCTAAACTAAATGGCATGAGTGCAAAGGGAAGATCATCTAGTATTACACCACTGTTGTATATTCACTGCCGGCAACTCACATCGCTCTGTATGAGAGGCGAATTGAGTGTGAATATATTGCAAGAATTGAGAGGGTCAAACATGCTCTTTTTTGAGGGATTAGAGATGTTTTTTGGACCGGTGTAATTAGATGGGTCTGGGGTATATGAGACACTATTTCTGTTCTTTTTGGGTTGATGTCTCTATGCTGGCTCATTTTGAGTTTCTAGTATAGAGCTCCCACATGCAGGTGTTCTCAGCAGTCGCACGGTGCAGTGGCTAGTATGAGATTGTTTATTTTTGGAGAGATTGAGATAGAGACGTGGCAGTGTCATGCCAACTTATGTCCGAGTGAGAGATGTTAGAAATTGGGCGCCCATGTGGCATGACCCTCTTTGAACCTTTTGAACCTTATCCAAATGGGTTTTGAATTTGAATTCAAACCTATTTGGATAGCCACTCAGGATATATATCTATCATATGATGATATGGATAGATGATATAAATATCAGATATTATCTCATTCAACAAATATGGCTAAATGAGATAAATAGATTATATATCTGATATATGGGCTATGGGTGATTAAGTGAAAAAATAACGTATGTTTGAGTTTTACCCATATACTGACTATCTCCCAAAAACAACGATCAAGTCATTTGCACTGTGATTTGTGTGTGTGATATTCATTCTGTAATATCACTTCACTACTGGGTTGGTTTATCAGATTCTGGAAGCACGTGATTTACCCACGAGGTTCTATCATCTAAAGGTATGTTTTAAATATTGTTTCGCTGCATTCTTTATACTTTGATTTACAATTTATTTATTTATGTAATAAATAATTAGAAATTAGAAAAAGGGCAAATGAGACTAGAGAGCTTGCCATTTAGGAAAGAGAAAGCTAACTTTGAATGAGAAGACATAATTAAAACTTTGGAAGTTTTTAAAGATTAATAAACCCATCACATATTTTAATGGAATTTTATTGAGTATCATTGTAAATATATTAATTGCAATAAATGAAAACATGTAATAGAGTTATAAATTAATTGTATACCTGATATAAGCTTTAAGTTTAGGTGAAGAAGAAGGTTTTGGTTGAGATATACACCAAAGCTTGAAAATTTTACAATTTTCATTTTTTTTTTGGAGTTGATATATCTGCGGAAAGTTTGGGTGGAGAGACATAAATTAAGATGATACATTTTGTATATATATATATCAAGAAGTTAATACTTATCTGATATATTAAAATGATAATTATCTAATTTTGTTTTATCTAGAATAACTTTTATCATTTAAAATTTGAATACTCAATCCTTTAAAGATAATATTTGTTTATTTGTTTTTATTTTACTAGTCAATCAATTATTTGGTTTTTAAAGGATATTATTAAAAAATCAATATTATCTTATGTATGTTAATACTTATTTGATTGTTATACTGAAATAGATTAGATAAAAAAATATTCTTATTTATCTTTCCGCAGTTTTTTTTATTTATTTATGTAACAAATAATTAAAAATTAGAAAAAGGGCAAATGAGACGAGAGAGCTTGCCATGTGAAAAAAAAGAAAGTTAATTTTGAATGAGAAGGCAGAATTAAAACTTTGGAATAATATAGATAGATATAGATACAGATAGATTGATAGTTTTTACATTTTGTCTCTTGTGTCATTTTAGTCCTTATAATTTTAATTAAATTGATTTTGACTTTAAATTTTAGTTTTTATATCAATTTAGTTCAATTAATAATGCTAATTAGGATTGTATTAGAAAAATAATCACTGACTTGTTTGAGATTAACTTACTGAGTTGAATAAATTTGTAATTTTGCCCATAAAAACATATTACATGTCGTTGATGTGTGTATTTTTTAAATCAAAAAATACCTAATTATAATTAATTAAACTAAACTATAACAAAATTTTAAATTTAATTAGGATTGAAATTACCGAAACTAAATGATACGAGGGCAAAAATATGGGAACGTAATGTACCCAAACGCTAACCGTTACCTAACCGCGGATATCATGAATTAACAACAGAAGGCTGTCAACTAGAGTTCCTCCATTCAAAGGAAAACAGAAAGGCCTCTTCTTTTTCTTTCCCCACCTCAGCTAATTGGTATGTACTCTTCTTACTCCCTCTTCACTTCTTACTTCAGTTTAGCTCTCATAGACTTTCTTTCACTTTATAAATTCTTCCTTTTTTTTTTTCTTTTTTTTCCCCAGAGTAAATCGAATGTCCATGTGATGTGAGTGCCACAATTGATCTCTTCTTTATTTATTTAGTTATTTATTAATTCTGGTTTTGTGTGGAGTGAGTAATTCTAAAGAGGAGCTAACTGATGGATGCATGCAACCTATTCGATAAAATTCCTATAAGAAAATATATTATCTACTCTTATTTTCGCTGAAGAGGCTCAATTTAAAAATGAGGTCTCCACAACACATACACTGAGTAAATCATTTGCACCTACTACACTTGGCATTTTCTCATGCCCAATTATGTTGATTTACACCCAAAAGTCTTCACAAAGCTGCAAACCCAATTATAGATTGGTTACATTTGGCCATCAATCTGAAGTGAAGGTAATTACCTTCCTTTTTCTTTTCTTTTCTTTTTTTAAAAAAATTAAAAAAAAAAAAATTTAGAACAGTTTATTTTTTTGATAATCTTTATTATGATTATGATGGCTGGTTTTCTTGTGTTGAATTGAAACGACAATGGAGGGACTATCTCCACATCTGAAATGTGTAATCTGAGAGAGAGAGAGAGAGCGAGAGAGAGGATACTCCCTCAACATCAAAAGGCTGCTCATTTCTTCATGTGTTTTATTTTTAATTATTTTTTTATTTATTTTTGTGGACAAAACAAGAAGGAAACAGAAACCCCGAGCATTAAAGTTAGGAAAACAATGTGGTACCACTTCACCTATGCCAGCAGTATTTCTATGAAATTTTGAATAGTTCAGATACAGAGTTTATTTCTGATTAAATAACCAATGCACATTTATGTGATGATTTTTACCTCTAGCCTAGATGTGGACCCTGTCTGATGAATCGGATCACTTTGTTTTTTCATCAGACAGACTTGTATATGATTTGATGATTTTGACTTCAGCATAGATATCCTTCTTCTGAATAGTTCTCAGAAAAAAGAAAGTGTAAAGGATGGCTTGCTTAGTCCAGCTCCCTCAACCCACCCCATCTTCTCTGGGTCCACCCAAGGACCACCATGCTGCATTGCTTGGCCTTGTGTCGTGCTCAACAATGGCCGAGCTCAAGCAATACCATTCCAAATTTATCCGACTTGGCCTTTCATCTGACAATGATGCCATGGGTCGAGTCATCAAATTCTGTGCAATCTCCAAATCCAGCGATTTCGGCTATGCCCTCAGAGTATTTGATAGGATGCCCCACCCAGATGCATTCATTTACAATATAGTCATTAGAGGTTACTTGCAATGCCAGTTAACCAGAAATTGCATTCTATTGTACTCCCAAATGCTAAGAGAATCAGTTACACCCAACAGATTTACCTTCCCTTCTGTTGTAAGAGCTTGTTGTGTTGACTATGCTATTGAAGAAGGTAAACAAGTCCACGCCCATGTTTTGAAATTTGGGTTTGGATCAGACACTTGTTCCTTGAACAATTTGATTCATATGTATGTGAATTTTCATTGTTTGGAGGAAGCAAGGCAAGTCTTTGATAGGATGCATCATCAGGATATTGTCTCCTGGACTACTATGATCAGTGGGTATTCTCAATGGGGATGTGTTGATGAAGCTTTAAAAGTTTTTGACATAATGCCCGAGAGGAATTCTGTTTCTTGGAATACCATGATAGCAGCTTATGTCCAGAATAACTATTTTCAGGAGGCGTTCGCTCTTTTTGATAGGATGCAGTCGGAGAAATTGGCACTGGATAAATATGTGGCAGCAAGTATGTTATCAGCATGTTCAGGATTGGGAGCTCTAAGACATGGGGAGTGGATACATGGTTATATCGAGAAGAGTGGCATTGAAGTGGACTCAAAACTGGCTACGGCTATTATTGATATGTACTGCAAATGTGGTTACTTAGAGAAGGCTTTTGATTTCTTTAACGGGTTGGCCCACAAAGGGATTTCCACTTGGAATTCCATGATGGGAGCGCTGGCATTGCATGGGAAAGGAATGGCTGCCATTGAGCTTCTGAAGGAGATGGAGAGAGAGGCAATTGCCCCTGACTATATCACTTTTGTGAATGTGCTTAGTGCATGTGCTCATTCAGGGTTAGTGGAAGAAGGGCGCCATTACTTTCGTTACATGACTGAAGTTCACCGCATTGAGCCTAGATCAGAGCATTTTGGATGCATGGTAGATTTATTTGGAAGAGCTGGATTGTTGGAGGAAGCCCGAAAGCTTATCAATGAGATGCCAATGAGTCCCGATGCAAGTGTACTAGGCGCTCTCCTTGGTGCTTGCAGAATCCATGGAAACATTGAGGTGGGAGAGAAAATAGGGGAAAAGTTAATTGAACTAGAGCCTTGTAATAGTGGACGCTATGTGCTATTAGCCAATGTATATGCCAATGCTGGTAGATGGCAAGATGTAGCTAATGTGAGGAAGTTGATGAACGACAGGGGAGTAAAGAAAGCTCCTGGAATTTCCATGATTGAATTAGAAGGCGTTGTTTATGATTTTATTGCAGGAGGAAGGGTTCATCCTCAAGCGAAAGAGATATACACCAAAGTGGATGAGATGTTGGAACATGTTAGATATGTTGGATATGTGCCTGACACGGATGGAGTTTTGCATGATATTGATGAGGAGGAAAGTGAGAACCCTTTACACTACCATAGCGAGAAACTTGCTATTGCGCTTGGGCTGTTGAAGACTAAACCTGGGGAAACTCTTCGTATCACAAAGAACTTGCGAGTGTGCAAGGACTGCCATACGGTGAGCAAGCTCATCTCAAAGATTTATGATAGAGAAATTATTGTAAGGGATAGGAATCGGTTCCATCATTTTAAGGGGGGAGAGTGTTCTTGTGGTGATTACTGGTAATGGGCGGAGATTGATGTTTGTTGTGATTTGTACATGCTCTCCTTCCTACATCCTGGTTCTTATTTTTACCCTTTGTACATGCTCTTTTATTTATTTATTATTATTATTATTCTATTTTTGACCTTTGTATTTTGTATTTTGTTTTTGTTTTTGTTTTTGTTTTTTTCTCGAAACAATTTCGTAATTTTACAGTTGCATTATCATACCTATATTCTTGTTACTTTTTACTTGCATAGCCTACCTGCCTTGGTATTGCTGTGTGGATGCGGCTTCTCTGTGGTGCTTGGTCTTGTGGTGGTGGTAGTTTTAATCTCAACAAGACACATCATCAAAGATAGCAATCAAAAGCTAAGATTTAATTTTAAAGTATACAGACATAAGCTTTTACATTCATTCAAGCATACTTATAAAATAATGATAATAAATAAACAATCCAGCAACATATAACATACATCTCTAAAAAAAAAAAATTAAACCAATACAATTTAAATATCTTCTACATCAATTGAAATATAAAGTACTTACGTGTAGGTCCTAATAAGTGAACTTATTATCTAATAGGTTCTATGAGAAAAATTTGTCATAAAAAAGTTATTAATTGTAAGTTTTAGCAATAATTTATAAAAATCATGATAAAAAAAAGTCACTAATTGTTAATTTTTAACGACATATATAAAAAATTATTACAAAAAAATTATTTTTAGCAACAATTTTACCAAGACTTATTTTTAATAGGATTTGATGAGAATTAAGTCCAACTATTAGGACCTATTGGTAGTTTACCCTTGAAAATATCCACACAAAAAAAATTAAAATCTGCAGCACATGATAAAATTAGCTCAAGGAGAGTGTGCTACGGTTTTAGTAATATTGCAAATAATCAAAATATATTGGGAAATAATTTTATAACAAAAAAAGAAAATGATATAATTTTATACTTCCTGAGTCATAACTAAATACAATATGAAACATAACTAAAGAACTCATGAGTTATAATTCAAATAACGTCACAATTAAAAAACAAAATTGATCATAATTTAATAAAAAAATGACATAAGTAAAAGTGTATGTGGTACATCTTTTCAAAGATGTGTATATTAGAATTTTGATGGTTGAACCAAACATGAAACATGAATTGTCAAGAGTCACTTTTTCCAATGCTTCAATGGATGATTTAGTAGTTTCCAGGGAATTGAAACGATTGCGGTCTCTTATTAGGTGGGTGCTCATAATCCTGGCAACTGTCTCTTCCACGCTCTCATCGTGTCTCTGAAATGTACTAATTGTAACATTCAGAACAATTGGAATTACCTTTGAGTTTAGATACATAATCATTAGACAAGCAAATCTATTGATTCCTCAATACTCGAGGGTAAATTTCTACAACGTAGATAGGCAGACAAAACAACCTTCATGTCCTCACTCTCTAGAAAATCATTACAACTCATAAAGAAATAAAAAATAAAAAATAAACCTAACAATGTGAGTCTAGTACTACAACATCAACGGGTAGGTTGCTTGAGTTGATTAGAAAACCGTAGTTAGACAAAAATGCCATTGGCCCACACGACAGGGTTTGGGGAGAATTCTATTTGGGGAAATATCGAATCAGTAGGATAGTTAATATTATTTGTATTTTTAAAGTGCTATAATTTTACTCTGTGTATGATGCAAATCTTTTATGCTGTGTTTGGTTGGGGGATTTGAAGAGGGATTTGGAAAGGGAAATGGAAAATGTAGGTGAAATGTGAATAAAACATGCATAGTTTCACACACCTTTTCCCTTTCCCTTTCCAAATCCCTCCCCAAACCCCCCCAACCAAACACAGCATTATATGTTTGGTATAACTCTTCCTATGTGTTGGAGTTGCCCCAAAAAAAAAAAAAAAAAACGTAACGTATATAAAAGGGAGATATAGATCAACAAAGAAGATGGGTATTGAAATTTGCATCTAAAGGAAGCATGAATTTATAATAACAGCATTCCAACAATACCCAATTCGATTTGGATATTAACTTCCTTTCCTGGTTGAGTTTGAGAAGTTCTTGGGTCCAATCGTTTCTTACTTAAGATTAATTAATTAATTAATTTTATTTTATTTTTTATGCTTGAGATTGTTGTGCAAGGTGCTTTTAGAACATTCAACCACACCAAAGTTGATGATGATTATCAATAAGAGTACTGAAGAGCATGTGAATGAGTTATCACAAACCCAGCAAACGCTGCAACAAACTCATCAGCATGTGCAAGGCAGTTACACTGAGCCACCTGGAGCAAGATTAATTCCAAAAAGTAGTTACAACTATGATAGTGGTGTTAGTTAGAAATGCTGATGTAACAGAATTAGTTAGAAGTGTTGTACATAAATATCTGTAATTACTCATTCAATAATGTGAAGGAATATCATCTTCATTTTCTATTATGGTATCAGAGCCTCTCAACTCTAACGCGTGAAGGTCCTTCAATGGCAAATCTATCTTCAAGTTCATTTTCATCTTCATCATTTGTTTTGCCTCCAAATCTGAATCTCCTTCTATCAATCTTCAATTCTCTCATCACAGTCAAATTAGGTTCTACTAATTTTCTTATCTGGAAAAATCAAATCCAGAATGTTCTTCGTGCTACTAATCTTCTTGGATTTGTAGCTAGTTCGATCTTTTCTCCTCAGAAATGCTTGATTCTTCAAGCAAGGCTATCACAAATCCTGAATTTGAAAATTGGAAGCTTATTGATGCTCATCAACTCAGTTTTATTGCTGTCACTCTTTCATCACCTGTGTTTTCCTCAGTTCTTCACCTTCAACATTGCTCACAGATGTGGAATGCTTTCGAAAAGAGGTATACCTCTCTATCTCAATTTCGCATTCATCCGTTGAAGAACAAATTACAAACTGTTTCAAAAAGAGGTCTGTGAATGGAAGAATACTTATCTCAGATCTACTTGGCATCAAAGATTAGGACATCCATATCCCTTGAAATTTCATCACATAGTTAAACATTTGCTTGTTAGTTTTAAGAACAATAGTTCTATATTTTATTGTAATCCATGCAATGTTGCTAAGATTTATAAGCTTCCTTTTAAGCTCTCTACTTCAATTGTATCTCAACCCTTTTCTCTTGTGCAGAGTGATGTATGGGGTCCTTTTCATGCTTCTAAATGTGGGTATGGATACTATATTTTTGTTTGTGGATGATTTCACTAGGTTTACATGGATTTACCCATTGTTTGTTAAAAGTGAAGTTTACTCAACTTTTATCTCTTTCAAAGCATATGTTGAGAAACAATTCAATCTTTCTCTTAAAATCTTCAAGACAGATAATGGCACTGAGTTTGTTAATCACAAAATGAATGCTTATCTTGTTTCTCATGGTATTGTGCATCAACTTAGCTGTCCATATACCCCTGAGCAAAATGGCATAGCAGAAAGGAACCATTAACATATTATTGAGACAATAATGGCCTTGTTGTCTCAATCTTTTGTTCCTCTTGATTACTAGTTTGAGGCTATGGCTATTGTTGTGTTTCTTATTAATAGGATGCCTAGTCTCTCTCTAGGTCTCTCCTCTCCTTATCAATTGTTGTTTAACTCTATTCGTGATTACAGTTTTCTTAAAGTTTTTGGTTGCCAATGCTTCCTTTGGCTTAGGCCTTATAATTCCAATAAGTTCCAACCCAAATCCACTCCATGTGTTTTCTTATAAATGTTTAGATCCCCTTTCTGGTAAAATTTTTCTCTCCAGGCATGTTTTGTTTAATGAGTCTTGTTTTCCTTTTGCTCAAATTTCTCCAATTCCTTCTTTTTTACCTGTTATTTCTTCTTTCTTTTGGTCTAATTCTTCTCCTTCTATAGTTTATCCATCTTTTACATTTCCTACTCTTGTTATTCCCCCTCTACCTACTTTTGTTCCTTCTTTTACCTTTGATTCCTCTCAGCTTGTTGCATCTCAGTCTCTTGTCCCATAGACTGTTACACCTTGGTCTGCAGCTCCAACTGCTGCTCCTCAGTTTGCTATAGCTCAGCCTGTTGTACCACCTCCTACTCTTTCTTTTAATCCTAGTTCTTCACCTACTTCTGCCATACCTATTCAGTCTATATCTATTTAACTTCCCTTACCTACTCCTGCTCCTACTGCTAATACTCACATTATGCTTACTAGATCTAAAACTTAAACTCTTCTTACTCACACCCCTAATCTTGCTAAAACTAAACCTACTACTGCTAAACAAGCTTTAAACTCTCCTATTTGGCTTTAAGCCATGTATGAAGAAATTCAAGCTTTGCATAACCAAGGCACCTGGACTATGGTGCCCCTTCCTTCTCATAAAACATCAATAAGCTACAAATGGGTTTTTCGAATTAAATAAATAAATAAATAAAACTCTGATGGCTCCATTGCCAGGTACAAAGAAAGGCTTGTGGCAAAGGACTACCTTCAACAGGAGCGTATTGACTATCAAGAGACCTTCAGTCATGTGGCCAAACAACCCACCATTCGTGTTCTATTGTCCTTGGCTCTTCATCATCAATGGCCCATTAAACAATTGGACGTCTCCAATGCTTTCTTACATGGTACCTTGGAGGAGGAAGTTTATATGGATCAAGCTCAGGGCTTTGTTGATCCTACTTTTCCTTCTCATGTCTGCAAACTTAACAAGGCTTTTTATGGCCTCAAGCAAGCACCTCGTGCATGGTATTCTACCTTCTCTACTTTCTTGCTTGGCTAAGGTTTCCACCTCAGTCATTCAGACTCTTCTCTCTTCGTGAAGACCACCTCTACCAATATCACCATCATTCTCATTTCTGTTGATGATACTCTGCTCACAGGCAACGATTCTACTCTCATTGAGGCCCTTAGTCATCAAATGCATGCAGTGTTTTCTATGAAAGAATTAGGTCTTGTGTCCTATTTCTTGGGCATTTCTGTTCACTCTCATTCTCATGGTCTTGTGTCCTATTCGTAGTGTTGGTAAGTGGTTGGGTTCTATTTCTACTATAGTTACGATTGTATACGTAAATGTAATAATGTGTGACCTGTTCGCGGAATGCATGTTAGTAGATATTACATGTAGTGGTACATCGATTGTTTTGAATGAAATTTAAGTTCATGGTTACATAAATGATTTCCGTAAGTCAGATCGTTCAAATATAGTTGTGTTGCAGTTCATTTGGAATTGTTAATTACATCTGTGAATTTGTGAATGTGTT